AGCTCGCCACAATGCTGGCGCTCATCAATCTTCATCATAGCTTAAAATGACAAGTTCATCGATCGCATCATCAAGGAAGACACGGCACGTCTTCCAGTCATCTGGCAAGTCTTCAAAAGCGGCGTGTCGTCGTCAGCAATGACCCAGCATGCCTTTCAAAGCTGGCATGGCTACGACACAGCGTCATATGGATGCATCAGCGGGCTCATCATCTCATTAACGGCTCGAAATTGGCACGGCTCATCCTCAAGGCTACGGCATCTCGTCTCCACTCATCAAGGGATTGGGTTCAGCACATCCTTGGTAATCAACCTGGTAATGGCACGGCTTATCTTCAAGGCCGCAACTTCTCATTAAGGGCTGCATATTCAGATCATCTTCATATCATATATTGAGTATCATAGCTGTGATATCAAATTCATACCAGTGCTATTAACCATCAGATCACAGCGAGTGGTTTTAATGACAAAGTACACAAGAGTCCAGAGGGTTGCTTAGAAAATCGCCACACACAATAGGATAATTCGTGAAAACATGGAAAATTTCGGAAGATTTGACTCATTCTTCCATTGCTGATGGGATTGGGGCACGTCCTCTGTGTCCTCACTATGCGCTTCAAAGGAATGGAGCCAATTTAGCTCCGCACCGAACAATATTGAATCTGATACCAAAACTGTTCGTATACAGCAGCTGCTGCAACCCGCCCCGGTCAGCTTCTTCTCAAGATAAAAGAAGACTCGAAGCAGAACTCGATAGTTTCAAACCCTCAGCAAGGCTGACAAGGGGCACGTGGAGTGTTACAAGTACAAAATGCAAATCTGTACTTGCCTGTAAATAAGCGTCACGCACACGTATTCGCACACAAACGGCAAGCCTGGAGCACCGCACATACCTGGCCAATGAATTTTACGCACGTCTGCTGGCAAAAAACTCGTGAATTCCAGAATGTTCGCGAGGACGGGTCATAGGACCAATTTCAAATGTTATCCCCAGACTTTCATGGAATGCCCTAGTTTCGTTGGCTGGGCACGGGAGCGACATTTCCTGTGGTCCTAGTTTCTTGACGTGGACGCTTTTCTGGGAATATTTGGCTGTACGTGGGAAAACGGGGCACATGTTGCTAGACATGGGCGCAAAAGCGCACCTACGGCAAAGAAATTCCTCATTAATACAATGATCGATTCGCACGTTGTAAGCGGCAGGAAGAGCAGCCTCAGCAGTTCCCAGTTTATCTTAGCGCAGGAAATACCAGGGGCACCACCATAATGGGTAAGTGGCCCAAATGGGTGATGACATGTCATCACGAATTGGGCAAGTTGCCTCAACTCTTTCATTAGAGTCTGATGTAAAGGTCAAAGCGATAACATAGAGGGTGCATCTCTTTGCCTCAACTGATGAATCTGCATCGATTGCTGTTTGTGATTGACCATGCCTTTGCCTGACTGTACAACCAGGCTTTTCATTTACGGTTCAAGCACACACCAGCACATTTACGTGCTAAAAGCAGTACTAACATTTTTACACGTAAAAACGTGCAAAAACACATTGATACAGGCGGCGCGTACATAAAGACAATACTTCGACCAAAACTGGCAGCTGAGTGTGGAGGCTTCAGTTTTTGTTTGCTGGTTTCAGCTGCACTATAATATGCCATTTGCAGTGGCCGTCAATTTTGTACGACTGGAGCTTATTCCAAAAGTTGGCTGCAAGAATTGCCCGCAACCCCTAAAAGGGTTCCAGCCATAAGGATCAACTCATTTCCGTTGATTAGAGAGCTGACGCGGACGGGATGTGGAAAAAGATGCGTCCAAAAAAACGCGTGCGCTCCCGCCCGCCAATGCCCCGGACCTTGGCGCCAGGGGACCAGCAGCGCGCCCGAGCCGTCAGTCCCGCACGCCTGAGCAGGAGCACCGGCGCTCACCAGCCCAAGACCTCACCCCACCCCCGTCGCTGATCTCCGGAGGCGAGTTCTGGATTGACCGCGCGCGGCGGAGGGGGGATCGCGGGATCGTGGATCGGGGTCGTGAGGGCATTGTCGTCAGAAAACGATCTGCGGCAGAGGCGCCGAGTTGGCGCAGCGATCGGATCCGACTGGTCGGTGGATTTTCCCCAGAGTCCGTTTAAGATCGCAGGCGGAGGGCCGTGAGACTGCCGAGAATTTGCTTCCGATTCGCGGTGACGCTTCGGACGGCCGACCCCGCCAAACGACGTCCTGCGCCCCGGGGGTTGCTCACGCTTGCCCGGGCCGTCGGGCGATCCGCTGATTCCATTGTCTCCCTCTACCATTTTCGCAGGAAGGATGTTCACCCCGGGGCATTGGGAGCAGGTAGGTCGGGCGACCTTGCTCGCCGTTGCTCAAAGAAAATCGAGCATTCGCGTCGCGCTTAGAAGCACTGCATTACCTTCCGCGATCGCCGTGCGGGGCTGGGGAGTGGAGCTTACAAGAGCCTGGTCCACCGCCTATTTGGCGCGTCTTCTGTCCGTCTGGCGATTTCGCTCGAGAGCGGAGCGATCCCCCCATGAGCGGGGGATGGCGGATCAGGCGCCGCTTCGCACCCCCCATCCATGGCCTGCCCAGTTGCGACCCCCTGGCCCCAGCGCCACAACACAAGCTCGTGTCTGCCCCTTGCAGGGCGTCTACCGGACATCCCGTGGCAGGGCCGTGAGGGCGCCGGAGCGCTTCGGCGTGATGGCCTACGTCGGGAACTTTCAGCCGCTGGCGGTGGGCGGGCCTTACATGCCCAGCCCGGAGGAGCTGCACCACGCGGCTCAGGCCCCCATGGCGGCGGCACCGGCGCCAGCCATCGCACCCGCCCAGGCGCATCCCGCCCTCCCGCCCGCCCCCGTCTTCGCGCCTCCCCCCGGCCCCTTCCTGGCGCAGGGCAACCGAGTGGTTCTCGGTGACCTGCCCCTGGTGAGTCTCCCGCTCGTTCGATCGCCACCATCACCGCGCGACAATCCAGTGATATCGGCACTCACCCCTTGTCGTGCACTGGTCGCAGAACGCCGGCCCCCAGGGCAATCCCAGCCAGGGCACCTGCCCCGGCTGGGAGAACCAGGGCTTCAACTGGCACAACACCAGCTGGGGCAGCACCAGCTGGGGCGGGTGAGCGGCGGGCTGGGCCCCCCGGCGATGGGGCCCCCTCCTCCGAGGTGAGGCGGGTCGAGGAGAAGAGCGAGGGGGCGGCGCCCATCGCCATGGCGCCTCATTGCCGAACATTGCCGTTTCTGTTCCTCGTGGCCATCCCTCAAAAGTGTGTCCGTCCAGCGTGCCATTGCCGTGTACCTTACGCTGGCCTTGGGGCCCGTCACCGCCGAACGCAACGGCGCCCATCGCCACAGAATGACCCCTGCGGTCACCAGTAGAAAACAGCCTGTTTGCGATGCCAATTGCGATGCCATTTGACACAAATTGATGCCATCAAAGCCACTTTTATGCCATCGCAATCACTGTGACGGCATCACTTTGTGTCAAAATAGCATCGCAGTTGGCATCGCAGACATGCCGCTTTCTACCAGTGGGTGGTCTCTCACACGTGCCCGTCGCAGGACCGCCTCGTTGATCCATCAGGTCGGAGGAGGAGGTGCCGGGGGGCCGCAGACCACAGGGTCCCGGGCCGGCGACATCTCCGATCGCCGGCCCAAACTCTTCATTCGTCATCGTAGGCGCCAGTCAAGGCGCAGCGTTCTCGTGCCGCCTCAACGGCCGCATCAACGCTTCACCCCCACCAAGCCGGCGCCCACACTGGCCGTTGTACCGACACCGAACACGGCCGTGGGCGCCAAGGCGGTGTGTGGGGGACCATCGTTATCGTGCTAGAGGGATTGGAAGGGGGGGTAGAAAAATACGAAACAAACAAAAACAGAGGAATTATTACACAGACGCGCAAGGAAGAGGAGGCCAAGCCCAGCGGAAGGACCAGGCGTCGAAGACGCTGGGCAAGAGCGCAACTGCCCTCAGAGCACGTGGCTCTAAGGCCCTGGAAACTGCAAGGTCTGTGCAGCATCAGAACTCGTGCAGGTGGGTAAGGGCATGCAAACCTCTCATGGAGTAGGCCCTCTCATAATGCATGCAAAAGCTACGTCACCACCTCTGTTTTTGTTTTCCAACATCTGGATACAAAGGCGATGAACACAAAGCTTTTGCATCGCCCTACGTGGTAAGCAGCAAAAGCGCTGCTGAAACTGAGTCTTGTGTTCAGCTCTTTTCCCAGCAGCAGCCTGCACAGACTTGTCTCAATAATCGATCACAAATTTCCAATGTTGCGCTGTCTTGCGCTGCACTGCAACGAAACGCATTCCTCTCTCACATAGAAAAGCTGTACAAGGAATTGCTTTCGAATTGCAATTAGATAGGAACCGCTTGCGGTCAATCGGCCATCAAGTGAATTTTGGCTTCGAGTCCAAGTCGGTGATCTGCATGTTCACGGTGCATACCGCATGCATTGTGGAGTTTAAACGGCAGAGTTTCGTTTGCAAACAGGAAATGACAGCACGTTTTTATGCTGTATTCACCGCCTTCCCCGCTTTTCTTTCAGAGTTTCAGCTGTGCGCGATGTGCTCCATGACTAACAACAAGACAAGACGCGCCGAATCAACAGCAACGTTCACCAAATGGCTGTGTTGACGTCAACACATTCTGACCTATTTTCTGATCCCATGACACATGTACCTCTGCTGCGCATCCCTGCATCGCTTTCTTACGCAAATTCCTCCAGGCTCCAAGTCTCAAAGTGACAATCAAATACTCCTATTGAAGCTGATTGTCAGTCGTGCCCTGATATCATACAAAGTTCTTGACATTTTGGCGCGACCATCGGTCGCTGTTTGTTGACAAGCTCGTCAGCTGCTTATGCTCTTGCGAATGTGACCTGCATTGCCGATTTTCTGCGCTTGATTTTGTATCAGTTCCCTCCTTTGTGTCCGCGTTGTGGTCAGCGCAATACTAAATGTTTGGGACCAGATTCCTCGCCACAACATTTTCGGTTCTGTTCCTTGCTCGCATTCCTGCTCCCATCCATCAAGTGCATATTCATTGTGCCGCACCTTTTGCCAATTCTCGCCGTGGGCCCACCACACGACTACCACCAAATGCAATTGCGTGCGCAAGGCCCTCATCACTACAGAATGCATACTGGCCGTGCCTCACGAAGCCCGGTCGGTGCCTGCCTCAGGACCGCCTCATTGTCGATCAGGTCGGTGGAGGAAGTGCCTGCGGGTTGCAGGATCCAGTGCCCCGGGCCGGCGATATCTCCTGGCGCTGGCCGAATCTTCATTCGTCATCGTAGGCGCCAGCCAAGGCGCAGCGTTCCCGTGCCGCCTCAATGTCGGCATCAACACTTCATCCCCACCAAGCCGGCGCCCACACGGGCCGTTGAACAAACGCCGAACAGGGCCGTGGGCGCCATGGCGGTGTGTGGGAAACATCGCCACCATGCTGGAGGGATTGGGAGGGAGGGTGCTAAAAAAAAGAAAAAAAAACGGAGAAATCTTTTAAAAGGAACAAAAATTGAGGAGATAGTACGTAGGCAAGGAGGAGTATGAGGCTAGGGCTGGGCTGGGTGCGGTGGAAGGACCAGCGGTCCTACACCAAAGGCAAGAGCGCAACTGCGCTCGGAGCACATGGCTCCCAGGCCCTGGGGACGACAAGGTCTGTTTGGAATCGATCGATTCGACACGTCGCGACGCTCGTACAGGTGAGCAAAGCGCTAAAATCTGGGGGACCTCGCATATTACATACAAAATACACATCTTGAGTATACATCTTTCTTTTCAACATTTGCACAGACTTGCGTTAACCGTTGATCACAAGGCCATTGCATTGTTCTGATGCAACGGCAACGCCTTCATCTTTCGAAATGGGAAAAAGCGTTTGCATTTGCGACGCAAATTTTGCTTATAAATGAAAAGAGCCACTTGCAATCGACTGGAGCATCGCGGGTTTAGTAGCTGCGGATGTAACTTGCGAGTTTCATTATTGGTTTGCTTTGTAATTCGTTTTAATGTTTTCTATTTGCGTCAGGAATAGGATTAAATTGAGTAGACTGACTGCGGCGGAATCTTTGAAGCCGCATTGTGAGGTGCCAGCAATTGTGGCATTACTTGTCTCATAATTCCATATTTTCTATTTGGACCATATTAATGACATATCACCCCAGGGGATGCTCTGCTGATATAACAATATGCTATCAATCAGTAACCCATTCTGTTGCTGCGTTGATGTTAGGTGGCCATTTAAGTGGTCGGATTGTAATGCTTACTCTCTGCAAGCAGTGCCTACAAGTTGTGAAGGAGAAGCTGGAAGGGCCCTCCAAACAGGAAACCATCGCGATGGACGAGGTGTGACCACGGAAAAATTTTGGGCATTATACCTGTGGCCGCATATATCAAGAAATTCACCACCCGCTTATGCGTTTCTTTCGGCCTCGTGTCTTGGTGTAGTTTGATCGCATCTATTTGCATTTTTTGATGTGATATATCTTCATTTTTTCAAATTTCTGAAGTTGTACGTATTCAACACAGTATTTGTGCCACGCGTAAAGAAACGATGAGTTCTATTAGAAGGTGATGCAGACAATCTCTGAGACTGCCATTTCTATTTACTTAATCACTGACAGGCTAGACGCGAAATCAGTTGATCTTTCGAACTGAAACGATCCGTATTTGGCCTCCGAATTCACCAGCCAATAGATTTTGCAGCAATTGTCTTCGAGCTGAACCTTCCCCAGTGCGCCTCCCGCGACGAGGATAACTGGGAGGGGTGGAGGAAAGAGCGAATGGGCAGAAGCACGTGCGCTACGAGCGAGCGGTTCCTGGAAGATGTCTGGTGGTCAACTGGTGGATCGGGGCCGCCAGCAAGCATACATGCATCGGCAACCTCAAGCCTGGCTCAGTAAACCATCGCACAACGAGCGCGACATTCGACATGTTGGAGGTCATGGCACTATCGCAATCTGTCACATGTCCAACCTCACCTCTGCAGACCGACGGATATCACTGCCAAGGTACATCTGTCTGTTTTTGATGATGGTGAGGCAGGATATTATATTCCCCTTGCATCGACATGTTGTGTGCCCTCTCCAGGTCAAACTCTATCGATTAATTTCTATAATATAATATTAAAAGTACTGTTGTAGCTCTTTATCTCATGGATTCTAACGAATATTCTATTTGCCTGCAGCGAAATATTTGAACACTCCTGTGACGCTCGCCCCAGATTAGGTTGGTTGTTGTTTTGGATCATATAATGAGCACCAATTTTCACACCGAGATTTAAAGCTGTTGGGAATACCAAATCTATCACACAATACGACTGTCATGGCAATGCATCACTGTGGTTCGACCATTCTAAACCTATTTGCAGCTCATCACAAATTACAAAAGCGAAACGTTTAGTATCACATGGAGTGAAGCCACTTGATTCTATAGGCAGGGAAAATTCAACGCAGCTCTGCCACTTTACATGTTTTCCATGGTGGTTCTAAAAAAAGCATGGCATAGATTATTGCCAAAATGGCCAATCATGGAATTCAGAATTCTTGATACATTTGTAGCATATTGGAAGAGATGGTTCAGAAAATTATGTAAGCGATGATGCCAGACCTCTTGAAGGAGGGTATTAATGCTTACTTGCTATCTAAAACAAAATCTCTAGAAGAATTTTCGGGGAAATGTTGTGACAGATAGGCAAATTCATAGCAAGATTGGACAACGGACACAACTATTTGGCACTAAGTTAGTATATCGAGAAGTTCACCACCCAGTGTGCATTTTCGGCCTAAGATTTTTGATTTTGCTAATTCTTTCGGCCTCGGGTCTCGGTGTAGTTTGAGCGTATCTATTTACATTGTTTGGTGTGATATATCTTCATTTGATAAAATTTCTGAAGTTGTAAATATTCAACACAAAAACTGTGCCACACATAAAGAAACGATAAATGCTGTTGGATGGGATGTAGACAACTTTGTGAAATTGCTATTTCTAGGCACTGAATCAGTGACTGGTCAAACACAGAAATCAGGTGAAAATTTTATTATAAATGATCCATAATTAGAATCTTTTCCCTGCGTTCCGTAGGATGGCCTGGCGTGCTGGCTGAGTTTACCAACCA